ATATTTCTACACCGGATACGGTAGTATATGTGAATCATTCTATAATTTCAACATCTGTAATTACCATATACTAAGAAATAAACGATATTCTATTCTATTCTATTCTATTCTATGGGAAGTACTTACTGATATTATAGGTAACATGAAAAAGAAAGGGTATAACAGAGAACTGTTAAATATATCTAGTGCGCCGCAAGTATCTGTTAACCTTATTAATAATTATTTTGCAAATGTAGGTAAAAGTTTGGCAGAGAGTTTTGAGGTAGGAAATAAAAAAAGTGAAAGTTTTAATATTAACATTGGTGAAGAATCAAATTATTACTTAAATTCATTTGCTTTATTGGACACGGATGAAAGGGAATTAGAACAATTAATTGACAATTTGAAAACCGACTGTTCAGTTGGTTGGGGTGGAATTTCGAATAAATTCATTAAAAAATTTAAATATTTGTTAATACCTCCTTTAACTTGTATATTCAATCAATGTTTAAATGATGGTGCATTCCCTAGATATCTTAAGAAGTCCGTAATTCTACCTATTTTTAAAGGTGGTGAAAAAACCTGTGTAAGTAATTATAGACCTATCTCTATATTACCCATTTTATCCAAAATTTTATAGAAAATTATAAATAATAGACTTACAAAATATCTGGAGAAAAATAATTTATTGTCAAATACGCAGTTTGGTTTTAGACATGGAAAATCAACGGAGCATGCCATTCATACTCTTACAAATTTTGTTGTCATCGTATTTAGACAGTGGAAAAAAGTGTATTTCTGTTTTCTCAGATTTGACGAAAGCATTCGATACCGTGTCAATAAAAATACTATTAAAAAGACTGGAAAATGTCGGTATCAGAGGCACTCAACTCAAACTATTCAAAAGTTATCTTTCTGAGAGATATCAATGCGTTAGTGTAAATAATATTACCAGCAATGATTCACTAGTAACACACGGCGTACCACAAGGGAGTATACTCGGCCCAACCTTATTTCTTATTTATATTGATAATTTTACAAAATTTAATCTCTCTTAGGGATATATAATTTCATATGCAGATGACACTGATATTTGCTGCGGAAATGTGGAAAGATGTATTCTCGTCTGCACAATTAGGTATAAATGCAGTTACTAATTGCCCTTACAGTAATAAACTTTCAATCAATATTACGAAATCAAAATATATAGTTTATTCATTAGGAAAACCTATTCGCAAACTTGAAAATTTTAACTTAGTGATTCATTCATATGATTGTTTAACAAGGGATAACAGCTGTTCCTGCCTTTCACTTGAGTCTGTTGAATATATTAAATATCTAGGGGTTATAATAGGTAGTAATTTAAATTTTAAACAACATATTAACACACTTAGCAAAAGAATTCGTAAATTAATATATATTTTTAAAACTATTAGACACGTTTTGGATCCAGATATATTAAAACGAGTTTACTTAGCTTTATGTCAGTCTATTATAACATACTGCATATCAACGTGGGGTGGTGCCTCTAAAACGGTGCTACAAAAGATAGAAATCCCTCAACGTGCTATACTCAAAGTTGCAATATTTAAACCATTTCTTTATCCTATATCACAGCTTTATGATAACTGTCAGGTTCTTACAGTAATACAACTGTTTATATTAACGATCATTCAGAAACAACATAGCTTATTAGTATACAACCGATCGAACTTAAATAAACGCAGGAAATTTTCCGTAGATACAACCAATTTTAAAACAACTTTTATAAGAAAATTCTTTGCATTTTTGGGACCACACTTATATAATAAAAAATAAAACATTGGACATTTACCACCTTAATAAAATAAATTGTAAAAAAACTGTACATAATTACCTACAAAAATTAACTTATAATGAAACTGAAAACCTGCTTAGTATTCAGACTTAAAAATAAATTCTTATATAACTGTCACCTGTAATACTACCCGTATAAAATCATAATAACCAGACACATACACACGCACGTGCGCAAACACACGCACGCACACACACACACACACACACACACACACACACACACATTTTATACGCTCCTCTCCCATAACTGCTCACACACATTACACTCATAACACAATTACTTCTTACAGTCATACATTATACATCTTATAAGAGAGAAACGGTATTAGTAGTATAAATTATTATTTTGTTTGTACCCTGGTATTGGTAGTAAGTGGTAATATAGTATATAAACATAATATGTGATACAATTAATTTCATTGTACTTAGGTTATATTAGCGGAATGTACAAATTTTTAGATAGTATTTGATTATTTAACTTTTGTTTGCATCCTAATATTTCTATAAATTAACGGTGGGGATATGGCGCTCACAGCTGCAGATGCTATGTTTTGAAGTATATGTACTAATGTAGCTTTATTAAATAATGCTATGCAAATATCGTGAAGTACAACCTCTTGGAAATAAAGAACTGATTATTATTATTATTATAATATACAAACGATATCGTAATTTTTGTAACAATCTGTCAAAAAAACTTAAACGAAAATATGAACAAGATCTACTTCTTAAAGCTAAAAATAATAATAAGTTACATTGGAATACGTTAAAGAATATTACGCACCTCAATAATAAAAAGTCTAATAATCAAGAACTTAGACAGCTGGCTGATACATCAAATAACTCTGCAAATTTAATTAATAACCATTTCTTGAATGTTGGGAAAATGCTCGCCGAAGACATTATTACACATCATCTACCTCAAAGTAAATTCGAGTTACTTCCTTCTCCTCAACCAAATTCCATCGGATTTATTGAACCGGATACAAATGAAATTGAATCAATTATCACAAACCTTAAATCTGATTCTGCCCCTGGCTGGGACAATATACCCACAAAATTTATTAAGCTTGCCAAAACAGAACTCAGCCCTATTATTAATCATCTCTGCGTGCTATGTTTTAATAAAGGCGTGTTTCCTCAGTCATTAAAAAAGGCAATTATTCATCCTATATATAAAAGTGGGGCTAGAGACGACGTTAATAACTACAGACCTATTTCTGTTCTAACAGTGATTTCCAAAATTATAGAAAAAATTATTAATAAACGGCTTTCAAATTTTACAAACAAATATAACATTTTATCGGACTCTCAGTTTGGCTTTAGAGGAAAAAGGAGCACAGAAGATGCTATTTTAGCATGAACCGCCAATATTATTAATATACTTGATAGAAGTGAGAAAGCTCTGTGTATATTTCTAGACCTAAAAAAGGCGTTTGACACCGTCTCCATCCCCATTCTTATCAAGAAACTTGACAGAATTGGTGTTCGTGGTCAATTTCTTCTTCTCATATCCGACTCATTTCTTTTAAGAAGAACTCAACAAGTCAAAATAGACGATAACTCGTATAGTTGTAATGAGCTCTGCGCACAATATGGCGTTCCACAGGGTAGTGTTCTTGGACCTACCCTGTTCCTAATATATATCTATGACCTTACTGAAACTAAATTACCAAACGTTAAAATCTTCTCTTACGCCGACGATACAGCGCTTTTTTATGGTAAAAACTGGGATGAAGTCCATGAGTCTCAGCCTCCAAGGGCCTACACACTGTTATCAAATGGTTACATAGCAATCTCCTTACCTTAAATATTAGTAAAACAAACTATATAACATTTGCAATCAAAAATTCCACGCAACCCAATAATAACCTTCATCTTATCGCCCATTCCTGTGAAAACTCTTACAGAGCGTCTAAATGTAACTGCCAGACCCTGAAAAAGGTTAGTTTCACAAAATCTAAGGGATATATCTCGACCAGCAACTAAATTGGCATAAACAAATTGACACTTGCACCCACAGAGTCAAATCTATTGTGATTGTTCAAATACATAAGACATGTCGGCGACAAACAATTTATTACTTACATTTATACTGCTCTGGTACAATCCATCATACTATAATATTACTTGCCAATATGGGGTGGTACCCACAAAACCAAAATGATTAGAATTGAGAGGGCTCAACGCTCACTCCTTAAAGTTATGACGTTCAGGAAAATTACATCGGGGACTTCTGAACTATATCGGGACTGCAATGATTTAACTGTTAGGCGACTTTACATATTAAAATGTATTCTGAAAATTCACAAAACTTTTACCCTAGATACAAAAATCTTAAGTAAGCGTAATCCCTATTCTGTCGTTTCCTACTCTACTGTTAAAACAGAATTTGCTCGTACAAATTTCTATTCGTAATCTCACTTATTGTGTAATAAATTAAATGGGAAACTCAAGTTTTACAGCAAACATTACTTTGAGTGTAAAAAATTGATTGTCTTGGTTGAAACAGCTTGACTATGACAGTACTGAATCATTACTTTCACACAACACGTAACATACGTTTGTTCGTATGAATCTTATTATATTACATTTATTATTTTGTTTTATGTATAAATTGAAAAACACACACACACTCACTCACACACACACAAACACACAGACACACACACACACACACACACACACACACTCACACACTCACACACACACACACACACACACACACACACACACACACACACTCATACACACACACACACACACACACACACACACACACACACACACGCACACACGCACACACACACACGCGCACACACGCGCACACACACACACACACACACACACAGCTATTATAATTATTGTTACTTTTGTCTGTTGATTTATCTTTATGTAATACAAGTCATATCTATCATGACTTACTGATTAAAGGAAGAGCGGACTCATCCTAATACAGGTTTTTCAAACTTAAAAGGGTGAGATCCATATCTAACACTGTAAATGAGACTTGTGTTATGAATAAATATTTTTGTATTTTTTTGTATTTTGTTTTGTAATTACGAAAAAACTGCCTCTTATTGTGCTCAGGACGTTTTATGCATGTGCTACTTTCATTTATAATTAAACAAAGAAATTTTAGAAAGTTACTAGGACCTGGTGAATCGTTATGCGAGCATTGTTCAAACGGCCTTTTTTAGCAATTTTGTGTAAGTTGAAAGTAAATAAATAAGATCGGCCGTCGACTCCACGGAACTAATTAAACTAGCCATTTTTACATTTAAGTCACTAATTCCACCACAAATAAGTTGTATAAGTTGACCCTCAGTAGAACATATTTTAGTAGATTTTAGTAGTCTTAATTTCTCCCTAGCATAACCATCGAAAGAATCTGCGGAATCCGACGTGTATAACCTCGCGTATAATAGTTTCCAATTAAGATTTTTCCTTTGCAGGTAAACAGAAACAATATATTTCTTGAATTCTTCCCATGATCTATCTGTCTCAGGATCCCACGTTTCAAACCAGGATAATGCAGAGCCCCGAAGGGCCTTACCGGCTTTTGCAACCTTCTCAAAGCTGATCCAGTTTAATCCGTCTCCTAACTTATTGAAGCTTTCGCACCAGGCAGCTGCTCCGTCGTAGCTTTTGTCCGGGTTGAAAATTGACACCGCTACGTCGTCGTGCAGCTTATTTGAAACCATTGCATTTTGGATGGTTTCCAACAGCCCTTTCACCAACTCCACATCCATATTGAAATAGTTTTCCCCCAAATATTTAAAATAAAATGATTAACAAAAAGCACGGGCCATCCAACTTCTTATGCTATTTGCATGGAAAATTAAACAAAGAAATTAGCTAGGAAAAAAATCGGCTCAGTAATAAACTTAAATTCTCCTATTTAGCTAAAAGGAGTTGTAAAATCTGCTTCCTAAGAAGGGACGAATTATGAAAAAAATTTAGCCACTTTAAAATAATATATTTAAAGAATTATATCTTTACACATATTTAAACAAATATTTAAACAAAATACACAATAAGGAAAAAATTAACAAAAGTACAATAAAATAATACATATTACAAATATAATTAACTTGCTAATACGAAGAATAACTAAGTACTGTCTCGAATTTCTTTGAATTCGGAGTATTTATAAGATGTTTCGGAGTATTTATAAGACATTGGGGGTACCCAATGTCGCTTTTATTTTTTTACAATTGAACAATTCTTAACACATCTAAATATTTACAGTAAAATCATAAAAATTATTAACCATTAAATAAAATCATAAAATCATTTTAAAAATTATTTTCACAATTTTCAACAATTAATTTGCAGTATAAATATATTTCAGAAAACACGTGGCCCTAAACGGTTTAACACATACAAGTAATAAGATAAAGGAATTAAAACCCTTACTTAAACACATTCAAAAATATGAAATACATTTTTAACATCCAAATAAACATTTTAAGCTATTTTAATACAGTAATTACAATATACTTATCAATCATACATTATAAACTGGAAGTAGTAACAAATTAACAATTCTTAAAACATCAAAATTAATTCACAAATAAATTATGTATTTATTAATCGTAACTAAAATTTAATTCTAAAATTAAATTGAGACATAAATGACCATATTCAAAACTTTTGTCTGTTTTGTGTGTCTATCTGACTCTGTGCTGGCTAACTTTTGCAATTGTTATACATGTTGTGAACATTAAACCAGGACCACGTGAGATCTAAGATATATTTTATTCTAAAAATGTAGAGTATTTGCCATTGCCGAAAATTTTTCAAGCCAAATTAAGATAGATTGGTAGATAGTAATAAATATATAAGTAGACTAATAGAGAATGCCTTTAGGCATTAAATCCGCCCTTTTTATCTATTCTTAAAAAATTATACTTAAATAAATATAATCATCATAAGGAAGAAGTATCTCACTTCTTCGTCACATTAGCATCAGCAGCAATTCATGACGCGAAATTTATTGGGCACCAATGTGAAAATCACGGCCTATCTGCTTCAGTATATTACTCTCCATGAGCAGCGGATAATAAAATATACTACAATATTTTTAAAAAACTTGTAGGGACGGTGTAAGAATATCGTCCTGTGGGTGTCAGTCAGGTTATAATTTATTTGATAGATAATTTTTATTCAATAATTGAAAAATTGGCCCTTAAACTATAATTTTAAACTTATAGTAAATATGTACACGAAATGTGAAATAAAATTCTTGTAAATATTTAAAAAATATTTAAAAAAGAAATAGACAAACATAATAAATACAAAGTAATACTCTCGAAAAACATTATCCTCTTTTTCGCGTCGTCAGTATCTAGTCGCGTAAGATCTGCGGTTGCCAACCCGCCTCCAAACTTAACAATTATAGCAAAATCCCACTTATCAGGCAATATATGGGAGGCGTCTGTTCAGCAGTGGGAGTTTGTAGGCTATAATGGATGGATGAAATAACTTAAAACTTTATTTATATAAATATCGTAAATAACTTTAAACTATTGCAAAGTGTTGTCGTTGGTCTGCTCTAACGCACTTCTCGTAAATAACTAACTTTAGCGTTTTTATTAATTGCAGTTGCGGTATAAAGCATCACTTATTAATTCAGGAAGTAATGAAATAACAAGTTACTTAAACATTTACTGTCTAGAAATCCATCTGGGTGAGAACCACTATCTTGCCTATTTCTGTAAGCAAGCGCCAATGCAGCCACAACCACGAGAAGTTCCGGTCTGTACATACATCTTATTTTTATTGTACGAGTATAAGATTGAAAAGCGGGCACATTTTCCACCTGATGTTAAGTGGATGCTATGGCCCATAAACATCTACATTTAACTTTAAGATTCAGATCCCTTGACAACTAAGCTGCAATGTATCGATTACAACAAGGCCATACTATGGGAAGCTAAATAGGAGCTAAAAATCAACCAAAACTTCAAGTATGTATGGTTTAAAAAGGAATTTGTAAAGGCACGAAAGGATGAGAAATCTAAAATCTATACCTTAAGAACAATGAAGGACGTACAAGCTTTAACCATTAATAAGCACAAACCATCTATTAAGCCCTTATAATATGTAGTTATTACTCATTTATTTAAACAAAAATTATAGTTATTACACTGGACATCGTACAAGACGATATTAATGAACTATCAGATTGTTTAAACATAAATGATTTCTTGTGTAATATTCCTAATATACATATAAATTTACTATGTATTCATATTAACATAAGGTCAATCGTAAAGTACTTCACGCTCGAGATCAGCAAAACATAGACGTCATTATTCTAACGGAGGCTAAAATAAGGGATAGTATTAGTTGCTTGTATCATATAAATGGTTACCAAATGTTCACGACCCTAAGAAAGACAAGAAAGGGTGATGGTATCATCATATACGTAAGTAACAAACATAAATGTAACATAATAACAACAAAAACTACACATTTTGAAAACATTTTACTAAATATCACCACTCATTTTAACTATACTGCGAACATTTGTGCAATTTACCGTCCTCCGAGTTGTAGCAAAAATCACTTTATCGGCGAACTCCAAAATACTATCAAAAAATGCTCGAAATCTATTGATTTATACTTACTAGGAGACATTAACATAAACCTGAAATCGGACAGCCCTATAACACATAAATACAATAATATGCTGCACAGTTTGGGCCTTCTATATTAGGATCGAATTATGTAATAAAAAACTAAGTAAATCATGTATAGATAATATTTACGCTCGATCCCGCACATAAGACATATACACTGCAGCAGTCGGAACAACACTAGCCGATCATCGGACTATAATACTGGCTTGTCTTGGAGCACGTACACAGGCTGTCTCAAAATATAAAACTTGCATTAATAACCAAAAGCTTTTTACATTATTAGAAAAAATTGATTGGGAGTCTACGTGCAATATGACATGCCCAATTAATATATACAATTCTTTGTACACAAACTTCATGGATTGTTATAGAAATTCGGCTTAAACAGTAAAAATTAAAACAAATAATACAAGAAATAACAACTGGATAAATAAGAAAGTTATTAGAGCATGTGCGTATAGGGATGAGTTATTTTTAAAATGGATAAAAAACACTAGTAATTCAGTAGTTAAACTACAATATAATAAGGCTAGAAACTACGCAAATAAGCTAATGAACAAATTTGAAAATAAAAATACGAAATCGGAAATTATTTCAAATAAACAAAGCTCTAAAAATCTTTGGAAGATTTTAAATAGTCACTTCATAATTATTTCGGTAGTAATGGCTGCACTAGTAAAGACATTGCGAACAAATTTGCTAGTACATTCAACAATAGTGTAAAACAAATAATTCCGAAATGTTCGGAATGATTGCTTGACAAAGCAATCTATGAATCTTCGGCAAATGTAACCATGCGATTTATCCCTGCCGATTCTAAAGCTGTGGAAAATATAATTAAATCAATAAGCAGTAACAAAGCCCCTGGGGCAGACAGGATAAGAGCCATTGATATAGAGCTGCTGTGCGGAAAAATCAAAACAGTTATTGCTAAATTAATAAATGCAATCGTTATTACGGGTAAATATCTTCCCCTGCTAAAAATGGAATCGTTCGACCAATATACAAAAAAGGTAGTAGGACTGAGTATGAGAATTATAGACCAATAACGATATTACCTACCATAGACAAAATAGTCGAAAAATATATAAGTGCACAAATCCATAGGTTTTATGAAAGTAATAATATATTAACTAGCAAACAATATGGTTTCCAACCTTAAAAGAATACCTCACAACTATTTTCTGCATTCACAGACAGTTTGTACACACATATTGACTCTAAAGAGCACATTCTGGTCGTTTTCATTGATTATAGCAAAGCTTTTGGCACGTTAAGACACAACAAATTAATTCAAAGCTTAAATGATAGCAGAATTAGAGGAAAATTACTATCGTAGTGTGAAAATTATCTCCATGAAAGATCTTATCGAGTAAAAATTGGTGATACTCTTAGTTTCCCTGTCCAGGTAACTGAAGGCACTGCACAGGGCTCAGTTCTTGGACCTTTACACTTTCTCATCTACGTAAACAATCTTTCTAATTTAATTAAACAGTGTGAGATCTCTGCTGGGCGTAGTATACAGGAGATACTAATGAAACTTCAAAAAGAGTTTGAAATACTGACGAAATGGTCATACGACGTCGGTTTAGTACTCAATGCTGCCAAAACTAAACTTATGTATATAAGTACAAGCCACAACAGAAGTTCTTTTATACCTAAACTAATATTGCACACACATCACTGCCTTCATATACAAAATACTGACAATTCGACACCCTGTAATTGCGATGCCATAGAAATTGTAAACAAGCACACCTATCTTAGTCTAATAATTGACGATCGGCTAAACTGGAAAGAGCATGTAAATCGTGTTTGTGATATATTAAGA